TTAAAATCATCCTGATTAAAAATTAAACGTTTAGAAATATCAAACTCTTCGTTATTATTCACTTTTAAAGTTTCAACCATTTTCTGCCTGATACTATACAGCGTCCGGCAGTAGTGCGTTTGTTTAAGTGCTAACCTAAAGTATATACCAGGATGAATTTCAGGAAAATATTTTAATTTCTACAGGGTGGCTCAAAAAAGTGTGAGTGGATGAGGATAATTTTTTTAAATGGAACACCCTGTATATTATTGCATTTTTGGATTTCTTTCAGATCACTTTACATAATCCTAAGATATTAATAAATATATTTGGATAGTTTCAGAGATATTAAAAAATAAGTCAAAAATATATATTTTTCAGCCCTTCTTAAAAAAAATATTAAAAATACAAGAACTGTTCTGAAATCAAAACTATATTAGATATTTACTTTAGATGGTCTGTACTTACTTTGCTATAAATATAAATATTGTAAATCATACAGGATGTTCAAAATTCTACGCCAAACTTTCAAAAATATAAAATAATTTTTCTTCATTTTTTTAAAATATGTATATTATTTTTTCAATAAACGGAGAATTAAAAAATGAAAATTTTTTGTATTTAAAGTATTTCAAAATTTTTAACGGTTTCGCAGATATTTGGACTTATATTTCATATGGCATTTTCCACAGTAAATTTTTATTAAAGCCACCCAATGATTTTTCTCTCGTATTTTACCATTGAAAGCGCCCTATGAAATAATACTGCGTATACCTGCGAAACCGTTAAAAATTTTGAAATACTTTAAATAGAAAAAATGATCATTTTTAATTCTCCATCTAATAAAAAAATAATATACAGGGTGTTCCATTTAATAAAACAAAGAAAAAATATTTTATATTTTAGAAAGTTTGGCGTAGAATATTGAACATCCTGTATGATTTACGATTACCATATTTATAGCAAAGTAAGAACAGACCATCTAAAGTACATACCTAATATAGTTTTGATTTCAGAACACTTCTTGTATTTTTAATAATTTTTTTTAAGAAGGGCTGAAAAATGTATATTTTTGATTTATTTTTTAATATCTCTGAAAGTGTCGAAATATATTTATTCATATCTTAGGGTTATGTAAAGTGATCTGAAAGGAATCGAAAAATACAATAATATACAGGGTGTTCCATTTAAAAAAATCATCCAGGTTCACTCACACTTTTTTGAGCTACCCTATAGAAGTTAAAATATTTTCCTGAAATACATCCTGATACATACTTTAGGTTTGCACTTAAACAAAATTCTCAAGTTTTTTATTCTAGGAGCTACAGATGCCCGACTCACTATTGCCGGACCCTGTATAATAAGTATTAGAATTAAACTACCTGTCATGCATTCAATTGTTTTCCATGATTCAAAATACATGGTATCATGAAAATTGTTTTTTTTTAAATAATAATTTAAGTTTTTCAAAAATAATCATAATTTTTTCAAAAAAGTTGAACAAATTAGGAATTTACCGAGTGGTTAACTTTAACCGTGAATAACTTTTGAAGGAGTAGGTTCATTGAAAATTTGTAAGGAATCATTTTTGTAAAGTGTTCAATTCTGTACAATAAAGTGTAATTGTCATGGCTACGAGAGAATATGATCGAGAGAAAAAAAATTATTTGCAAAAAGTGGCAAATTCCCATGTAATTCAAATGGTAAATGAATCGTCTGGGGTAGGTTTATTGTTAATGTTAATTAGACAATAAACTAAAACTTTAGAGGACGTCGTGAGAGACTTCATCAACTTCGTAAATAACGGACACCCTACTGCACATGCATGATGCAGGTAGTCATAACACCAGCTTTAAGAGAGCTCAGAATACGACTAACATAAGATAAGAATAAATATGTACCTTGGTAACGGCACAGTTTTCTATGTATATGTCGCAGACGTATAGAATAATTCGGCTTTTTGCAATAAGACTAGGCGTATTATAAAACTCCGGCTTTTTACACAAAAAAAGGAATTTACAAAAAGCCTGCCTATTTCCAGTCACTTTGCAAAAAGCCTAATCAGAATTAGGCATATTAAACAATGATTATATTTTCTGTACACTTCTGCAAAAAGACTGCCTGTTTTTAGTCATTTTACAAAATGCCAAATCGACCAAAAAAAGTGACCAAACTTTTATGTAAATCGCCAGGTTGGGTGTGAATAAGCTGTGTGTATTATCAAGTTTCATAAATATCTGATTTACTTGATTTTTTACTGATCATTTTGTTTAAATTAAAACTTGTTTGAAAATAATTATTTTGATGTTGATATTTACATCTGACAGTTTGGTATACACTTTGAGTAGCATATCAACAAACAAAGGTGGAGCGAGATGAGGGATTGATATGGCTGACTTAAATTTCGATGTATTAGTGCCGTCCTAATTGATTTAAAACGTGTAATAATTTAAATTAAGCGCCACCACAATAATTGGTTAGTTTTCCCCTTTACGTTGTATAACATAAAATAATCTCCAAAAAGTTTAACATCGGTGTGCCAAATGAAACGTCAAACAGAACTGTCGAAACTGTGGGTTTATGATGTCGATTCTGTCCCTAATGCATGAATACATGAATAGCATTTTACTCCTTCCTTATTTTTTTTTATTCAAAGTGTATATCTCGCAGGCATACACATATCGAATAACTTGCAAAAGCAAAAAGACTAGACATTTCATAAAACGCCGGCGTTTTTAACAAAAGAAGGATATTTACAAAGAGCCTATTTGTTTTCAGTCGTTTTGCAAAATGCCTAATGAAGACTAGTCCGATTGCACAAAACATTTTACGCGGGATTGGTCTAACTATAACCTAAATTTATCCAAGGACATTTCTTAAACTAATCACAAAAAGTGATAATTCTTTTAAATAGAGTACGGTTGAGGATAATTATTATTATAAATATCTAAATTCATTTTATTCTATATTTATAAGTTCCACAGAAGAACCAGCCCTGTACACAGAATCGAATTACAGAGTATAATAATTAAATGAGCTATTAATATTACGGTTTTAATATATTTTGTATTTAAAATTATGTTATTTATGTGTGTTATTTAAGTGTACAGAATTATGTTATTTAAGTAAAATTATAGTACAGAAAATATCATCATTGTTTAATATGCCTAGTTCTGATTAGGCTTTTTGCAAAGTGACTGAAAATAGATAGGCTTTTTGTAAATTCCTTTTTTTGTGTAAAAAGCCAGAGTATTATAATACGCCTAGTAAGTGACATAGCAATCTGTGCCGTTTTGTCCTATATCGTTTACTGTATAGTAAATTTAAAGTAAATTACATATTATAATGTAGAATGTAGAATGAGTGGAAGAGGGTTAATCACCGCGACCTTAAAAATCTATCGTGTCCCCCCTTTTTTTTAGTTATAACTCATAATAGAGTCTACAACTCATCATACATGGGAATCTTTCTATTGCAGAGGAGACAGGGTTATTTCCCATTTCCCGTCCTCCTCTTACAACAGCTGTTCATCTTGTGTGCGTTGATGATTCGCCAACTCGATGTCCTTGCATTTTCTGACAAAGCTGGTGATATATCGCAAAGGTTAATCGGTTCACTTCTACAAAGCTCTGCATGGTAGAATTATGGGAGACGAGAATACAATAGGTTGCCTCAGGGTGCTCCAAGTTTCAGACCAGAAGAGGCTAGTCTTCTATCTAATTACGCATCCCTTTGACCTGGTCCCGCCATCGTAAGATTTATGTTTTTGGCGTTTTGGTTGTCTCCTCTTGGTTCGGGCGGTTAAGCCAAGACGGATAGTATGACGGATAGGGTATTCCCAACCGGCACACGTTTTTGTGAAATTCCCTGGCCACGACACTGCAGCCAGTGACAAGACAGTGAGATGCTCCTTTGACACAGCCAGAGGAGATTCCCGCTAGCACCTGACTAGGAGCTTCACCAACATCGACAAGGTCTTGCATCTAATAGAGGAATAAAAGAGAGTATACTGTTCATTTTGCGAAGTTTGAAACTTTTGTCATAATTTTCGGCGCCATATTGCTTTTCACGTATTTCCTGACTTGGTCCATAAGTTGAAAATTAACAATAACAAATTTAGTAACAAAATATTAAACAATGACAAATTTATTGTAGCCTACCCGCAGTATACAATCAATAAATACATCCTCTAATTATATGTTCATGGATCTTATAAGCAGGAATTCCACGGGACCAACGAATGTTGTGGCTTGTTTTGCTGCTTTTTGTTCTTTATCTTTCACGATTTCTCTGGAAATCATTCTTTGTACAGTCGAGCATGAAATTTCTAAAGTCTCCGATGCTCTCTATGAAACACGTGAATATTTTGATTTAGTTACAAAATATTAACTCGGTAGTTGTCCAATTACATCGTAAACAGCCGACACAGGTAAAGGGGGTTTTCCAGTATCCTTTTGGAGTTTGAAATACTCGATAACTTTTAATATGAGCCGTTGTTCTTTTTCACTAACACGGGACGGCATTTTAGGCACAAATTAAGTCACAAATAACTAAATAAACACAGAAAATCCCACAAAAATATCAAAAATTGATAAAAATCCTCTTCGAAAAATTTACGGGAAACTATCGGATTCGTTAAAATTTAACAACTCTGACAGTTGGCGATCCGTATTGTTCGATTTCGGCCGATAATACAAATTCGATGTTTGCCTTTTTCTATTCGTGCACATTAGACAAGGAAGTGCGATCCTTTATATGCAATGAAGGTGATCCGTATGTAAAAAGAAAAAAAAATAATTGTACGATCTAAGAATTATAATGGATTTATGTTTTTGACGCAAAATTTCCATTTCATGTGATAAACATGGATAAGAGAGAGAATACCAATCTGTGACGAAAGTTTCAAACTTCGCAAATTGAACAGTACATTGTATTATATTATTTAAAATTTACGGTGATGAAATAATGCAATAGATCTTTATAGCGCAAGTTTGAAAAATCTTGAGATTCCTATTTTGGTGGGGTGTAGCAATGAAGTTAATGAGACAAGTGAAGTAAACAAAGTATATTAGTCGAGTGGTAGAGGTTGTAGTGTGTTATAGTTACAGGTGAATTTACATAAAAAAATAAAGTAAGTGAGATCTTTGATTACTAAAATTAGAAAATGCGTGCATAACATATTACAATTAATTTTAATTATTTTGTTTAAGCCTTCTATCAATTAAATTCATTTTAGTAATTTAGTTCATATGTATAATTATTTAATTTTTTTTTCTGTTTAGATGGGGCTTCAGACCGCAGTTCTATTTGCCCTTTGTGCTGTATGTTTGCAAAATTTAGTCACAGGTGAGCCTTCAAACTACCGAACTTACCGTATTCTTACCACTGGATCCAGATATTATCCAACGTATAACGATTATTACACATACCAGAGTGCTCCACAAGCATACAGGTACAGAGCTTTCTATAAGAATTCTAACTTGAATTCGAAAAGAAAATTTGATAGTAAATTTATTCAGAAATAAAAAAAAATCTTTTTTAATGGAACAAAAAAATTGGAATAAAAATGAGTAATGTTTTTCAAACGTCAAAGTTGCAAAACCCGTCTTATTACTAACATTTTGAGAAAAATCCGTTCTTTATTCATCAATATTTTTGCTTGTTCTAAAATGACTAATTCTGTTTTTATTTATTCAAATATCTATACCGTTTCAGAAATAAGTAAAAATTCAGAATATGGTTGACGTCGCCGTCGCCGTCGTTGCAGTAAAATCAATTCGTTTCTTATTACTAAGTATTAGTAAAAAAAACATTAAGTGTTTGTTGTAGCGACCACCTACTCCATAAGACAAGCCTGCTTTTGTAATAAACAGTAATTATACAGGGTTGTTCGCCACATACGACACGGAGTATTGCAGCTAAACGATGATATTTTTACAAATTGTAAGTTTGGGGTTCGTTGAAGGACTATTAGAGCTACAATTTAAAAATTTTATAAGATACAGAGTGTCCCAAATAAATAAAAAATATCAGAGTTCTATTTTTTTAAATGGAACACCCTGTATATTATTGCATTTTTAATTTCTACGGTTTAAATAAAGGTAAATTTGATTAAGGTTTATTACACTTAAACCTTACCGTTTTTGAAATATTTTCAATTTTGCGAAATTGCAGTATAAATTTTAGGGCTTCATTTCTCCGAGGATATCAAAGATTTTAATACTAAATATTTACTGAAGTTTATTTATTGATCAGTTATTGTGTTGCAATAATAAAAATTATACTACCTTATACAGAATGTCTAAAATTTTATTTTAAATAATTACTAGCTGTAAACGGCAATAACTTATTTAATTTAAATAGAACACCCTTTATATTTTATGAAAATCAGATACACAATTTAATTGTCTATCAAATTGTATTATACCACTTCTTACCTATTCCTTCAAGCTTTCGTAGAAAATGCATTTTCTTATAATTTAGATATTTATCAATATATCCATGGAATATTGACATTTTGGATTGTTTTTAAAACAACAAATGTACAAAATGTACAGGCTAGTAATATTATCGTTTTTAGTAAAACGATAATATTAGTAGTTAGTGGCCCATTTGTATGCAAAAAGAAAACTATTTAAATCTTTATAAAAGAGTATACCATTAATTAAATATACCACCAGTATTTCCGCCCAAATACTAATTAACTACATACTTAATTGTGTTCGTTAATAAATTATTCTAAATAAATCTGGATTTGAATCAGAAATCAATATAATAATAAGTTATGAAAATGAACGTCTCTGTTGTTATAAATAAGCCTTTGTCAAAAAATTAAATAGAATTTTTAAGGTGTTACTTTTTACCACACTGTCTAATACACATACATAATTCAGTTTTTTAGTATTTGGAGCAATTATTATTAATCAACGCAAACAGTCAATTAATGTAGTTTGAATACTAGAATCATATTAATTGGTCCTCTTTAACAAATATTTAAAGTTTTTTTTTATTTTATAATTAAATAAGAACTATATCGACAATTTTAGTATCTGTACCCTTGAAAATTTGGTACATCTTTAAAAATAATCTAAAATGTCAGTATTCCATGGGTATATTGAGAAATGAGTTCTAAATTACAAGAAAATGCATTTTCTACGGAAACTTGAAGAGATAGGTAAAAAATGGTATAATACAATTTGATAGACAATTAAATTGTGCATCTGATTCTCATAAAATATACAGGGTGTTCTATTTAAATTAAACAAGTTATTGCCGTTTAAAGCTAGTAATTATTTAAAATAAATTTTTAGACACTCTGTATAAGGTAGTAAAGTTTTTCTTATTGCAACACAATAACTCATCAATAAGTAAACTTCAGTAAATATTTAGTATTAAAAACTTTGATACCCTCGGAGAAATGAAGCCTTAACATTTATACTGCAATTTCACAAAATTGAAAATATTTCAAAAACGGTAAGGTTTAAGTGTAATAAACCTTAACCAAATTTACCTTTATTTTAATCGTACAAACTAAAAATGTAATAATATATAGGGTGTTCCATTTAAAAAAGCACAACTTTGATATTTTTTATTTATTTGGGACACTCTGTATCTTGTAAACATATTTTTAAATGGTAGCTCTAATAGTCCTTTAACGAACCCAAAACTTACAATTTGTAAAGATCTAGTCGTTTAGCTACAATACTCCGTATCGTATGTGGTGAACAACCCTGTATATATAATATGTGACATTAATCAAAATTAGTATATCATATAAAAGAATATTTTAAGCGTTTTGATTTTTTGGACTTCAACCATATTGTCATGTTTTTCTCTGTGCTCTAAAAATTGTGTGCAAATTTGGAAGTGTATAGAAAAACGGGATTAGCAATTTTCGAAGAAGCAAAAAGTTTTATGAGCATTTTCATCAATATGTTAATAATAAAGATGTGTTCTCTTGTAAAGACGATCCAGAGACATACTGTAGAAAGTTTAAAAGTTGACCCCTGAATAAGAGTAAATATCATTTAGAATGAGAACTGCAAGTATCAAAAATGAAACAGTGACACTAAAAATTAAAACCGTTGATATTCTGACGAACTAACAAAATATATAATTGAAAAAAATCAGATTAATAATTACTACCTGATGATAGTTACCTAATGAATTAATGCTAAATTTAAAATGTCTGTATATAGGTATATGAAATATTTTTGTTCTTTTTGTATTTTTTTATTGAGGTTTATTATGTGCTCTTGTATGTCAAAGAATCGACAGCCATTCTGCTAATATCGATAGACACCTAAACAAATATAGATAATGTATCGTTCCCTTTGATAAGGGATAAAATATTTCATATATTATAATGAAATTTTCATAAAACAAATAAATAATAATGTTAGACTCTCTCATGGGGGCTTAACATAAAATCTGTTAAGAATCTCTCAGACATTCCATTTTTATTATCAAAACAAAACATAATTAATCAGATGATATAATTATAATACATAAGGATTTAAGTAAATAAATAATTTAATAAAACAGGTTTTTTATATGGGTTAACCCATTGACCTTTAAAACTCTTGTTTTCAAGAAATGTAGTTATTTTTGGTTTCAGTTTTTATTAGTGGAAAAATCATAAATGTGCTTGAATTATTATAATAAAATGTAGTAATATACCATAGGATCGACAAAAAAAAACGGCGTCAAAGACGGCTGGGAGAGTAACAATCGATGGTAATTTTGGCGAGATCAAGCCCTAGACGTCACTTACTGCGTCTGTAATCTTCTTTATTTCTTAATGGCTCTTACTGCCGAAGATTGTAATTTATTTTCGTATTGAATTTAAATGGCATAGCTGACAATTCCACAATAAATATTTTTTTTTGGAAATATATTTGTGTGTCTGGAAATCTTTTATCATTTTTAGATCTTTCTACAATTAGATTTTTGACAAGTTTTATGTCAATTTTTAGTAAATGTCGTCTAGAGATCGATCTCGCCAAAATTATCATGCCGATTTTTTTCGATGTATACGATTAGATTTTCAGAAATTGTGAATGCTGGGATGAAGGTATAAAAAATATCAAAGTTTTATTTTTTTAAATAGAACACCTTGTATATTATTACATTTTTAGTTTCAACGATTATAAATAAAGGTAAATATAATTAAGAAAATAACGGTGGTATGTTTAATTGGTATACCTACTATTTTACAAAGATTTAAATAGTTTTCTTCTTGTAATCAAATAGGCTAGCAATATTATCGTTTTTAGCACCTGTATATTTTGTACATTTTTTATTGCTCTAAAAATATCTAAAATGTCAATATTCCATGAGTGTATTGATAAGTGACATCTAAATTATAAGAAAATGCGTTTTATACGAGAACTTGAAGAGATAGGTAGAAAATGGTCTAATATAATTTGAATGACCATTAAATTGTGCATCTGATCCATTTTGTCATTCCATCCATTTAAATTAAACAAGATATTGCCCTTTAAAGTAGTATTTATTTAATGTAAATTTTTATTCACTCTGTATCACGTAGTATAATTTTTATTATTGCAACACAACATTTAGTAAATAGAAAAACTTCAGTACAATATTTGGTTTTAAACTTAAATACGTCCAGAGAAACGAAGGTAATAAAATTAAAATTGTTACTGCAGTTTTACAAAATCAAATCAAATTTACTTTATTTTAATCGTAGAAACTAAAAATATAATAATGTGTGCGGTGTTTCGTTTGAAAAAATACAACTTTGGTATTTTTAATTTATTTGGACACTCTGTATCCTTTGAAAATAATTCTAAATTTTAGCTTTAGTAGTCTTTCAACAATCCCATTACTCACTATCTGAATAAAACCATTATAAAAATATTTAAAAGTGAAAAAAATATATTTGACAGGGCCATTTTATAAAAATATCTTTACTTTTTATATTTATCTTTCAGTAACAAAATTTCCAGACTTTTTACCAGAAGCATTAAGATTTCTGCTTTTCTCATTTTTTTTTTTCAATTTTTTGATACACTCCTTTTGATTCAATCTGCCACCCCCCATGTTTTACCTTATAATTTATAATAAAAAAGCTCTGTACCATATTATTACAGATACACATATTCGAGACCGATATACGACGATAAGGTTTATATAACGGACAGATATGGCAACACTGTAGCTCAATCGTCAAGCGATTACTACAGATACGTTCAAAGTACCAAATATGCCGATAGCGAACCCTATTGTGATCGATGCTACTATAGAGAAGGTTCTATTTTTTATAAATCAGTATATTTTTTATAACTATTGCATGTTGCACTTGCACAAATAAAATCTCATAATCATATAATTCGGTAAGTTCTTCATGCGTGACCTACATATTTAACAGAGTTTTTGACCTTTCGTTGTTTTTTTAAGAGGATGGTGCTACAATAAGAATGATCTTGTGATGTACATATAAGGGATTTTAATATAGGAGTAAGCTTAATGCATAAGGATATAGAACAATATAGAATTTATAATATGACGTTATTTTTATTACTCCATATATAGGTCATATAATGGGTTTGGATTTTTAGATCATATACCTACCATATGATCTAAAAATAACGATGCAATTTTACAATCATATTTCCATTTAATTTTACAAATAAAATGTCATCGATTTTTTTTTCAATTAATTGTGAATGTTATATTCATCATCATTATCATCATTTTTTCCGCTTAGTAGTCATGGCGGCACTTGCGACAGACAGCCACTTCCGGTCCAGACACCGAATTCCAGGAACCCAATCAGCTAAGAAGATGTAAAATAGGCTAATAAACAAGAATAAACAGGTTTGAATCGCTTTGAACCGCTTTAAAACAGAAAGAAACGGGTTTGAACAAAAACTGAACAGGTCTGTTGTTTTACGCTAAAAAGCCGTTCAAAGCAGTTCAAAAGCGGTTCAAAGCGATTCAAACCTGTTTATTATTGTTTATTAGTCCATTTTACATGTTCTTAACCGATTGGGTTCCTGGAATTCGGTGTCTAGACCTGAAGTGGCTGTCTATCGCAAGTGCCGCTATGACTACTCAGCTTATTAAACCATTTCCAATTAAGTTGTAGCCACCCTCACATATTTAGATACCCTCTTTGTAATTGGACTCATTGTTGCTTATTGTTGGCTATGCGGGCCCAAGCTATCTCTGCTAATTTCCTAATATCATGGTCCCATCTCAGGTTTGGTCTTCTTCTAGGTGTCTTAATTCCTCGTTTTTTAGCGTTGTGCGACTTCTAATTTCCATATAATGTCCGTTTTAAGTGTCCAAGTTTTGCATGCATAGGTCATGATTGGTAGTACACATTGGTCGAATGTTTTTCTTCTTTAGATAAAGTGGCATTCTAGGTTTGAATATGTTTGAGTTTCTTCCATAAGTACTCCCTGCTAACCAGCTAACCCCACTAACCTCTTCTTGTGATTTCTGGTAGTAGAGATCCCGAGCTGTGTATTAGTTGTCCCAAATATATATATCTTCTTCTACTATTTCTAGTGTTGTCTTATTTATTAGAATGTCTTTTCTGTCTTCTACTAGTTTGTTGTAATTATCAATCTATCATAATACAAAGCATGCTTCATCTCAAATCTTTCTGATCATTCTGTATATAATTTAAAATTCCGTTGGTGTTGTAGTCATAAAATATTATTTAGTAATTAAATTTTTTAAAGCAAGGCAAATTCTGGTTATAGTTAAATATTTTATAGGTTGAAGGTAATAGAATTTTTAATTATTGTAATAGTTCTCAGATTCCTGAAGTTTGGAATTTTAGAAACATGATTTTATTTTATTTTTACTGCTTAAGGGATTCTACTACATTACTGGCATTAAAGTAAATAAAAATGATCATTTAAATTGAAATTAATTTAGTAAATTCGTTATAGTAAACATTATTGCTTTATATTTCATTTTTATGGATGACATTTATGTAAGACTGACGACTGTTATGTTAAACAAGAATTAAGTTTTATTTAATTTAAGTTTTAAGAAATTAAATTAATGCAATCTATAGATTATAAGAAACTACATAATCATAATAAAAAAGAAGAGTAAGAGAATTTTGAAGTAAAATGCTGATTATGCTTTTAAGCTCAACTTTTGGCTCAAATAAAATAAAAATAAAGCACCATTTCACCCCAATACACCAAAACTCTTTATTTTTAACACTAGACGCGCATTTTGCTAAGCGTATTAGCATCTTATCAACAGATGATTAAAACTGTCTCCATTTTTGCTGGTTTGAAAGTTTGAAGTGGAGTTTCAGTTTGAGTATTTTTCAAGAGTATGGTTTAGGTATGTGGATGATATATTTGCCGTTTTTGACACACATTCTGACACCAAAGGCAAACGTATTTCTATAAATTAAATAATCGTTTTCTTTCTAATACCATAGATACCCATTACCCATAGAGTAGATACCCATATTAGAAATAGGTACTAATAATTGCCTGGAATTTGATATCTATAGAGAAAAGATCTTTACGCACAAATATATTCCTAATGAGTCTTATCATAATGATGAACATACAGTGGCGAACAAAAGTATGGAAACATTTTAATTTATACTATTTCTTAGGAATATCTCACTTGCTGGTAACACTGTATTTTATCTATTCTTGATTAACCTCAAGAATTTTACTGATAAAATATAAAAAACATTTGACAAGGTTTTGTCGATTATAATGGTGTTTTGGTATTTGGTTGTTTACAAAAGTATGGAAACATTTTAAATATTTTTATTTAAAATTACTTTAGTTAGTGGTCTGCCTTAGTGACTTGGTGTAATAGTACTATTTCCAAATACAATGCCGAAATGCAAGTATTATGCCTCTGACTTTAAACAGAAGATAGTTGCATTATATCAAAAGGGTGTGAAGCAAATTGATATTTCTAGGCGGTTGGACATCAGAAGGGGTACAGTAAGATTATTAAGCGTTATTTATAAAGAGGGACTGTAGATCCCGCAGTTAAAAGTGGAATACCGCAAAAAACTTCCTTAAAAATGGACCACATAATTTTAAGAAAAGCCAGAAGCGACCCAAAAAAAAGTGCCGTTGATATTAACAAGGAACTTAGGGAGGAATACCCAGATGTAAACGTTTCTGACATGACTGTTAGACGGCGCCTGCTAAAGGAGAACCTTTATGGTAGACGCGCCGTTAAAAAGCCCTTGTTAACGAAGCGCCACAGAATGGCAAGATTAAAGTTTAAAGGCCTCCTGGTCAAAGATTTGACCCGAAGTATTTAATTCCAACTGTCAAACATGGTGGAGGAAACCTGATGGTGTGGGGATGTTTTAGACGATCTGGTACTGGTCCATTAGTCAGAATTGATGGGCGTATGGATGCTCAAAAGTATGTTGATATATTGGAGAAAAACTTGTTGCCATACGAAGATGATCTGCCTTTGTCATGGATTTTCCAACAGGATAATGATCCTAAGCATACCTCTCGACTTGTGAAGAATTGGCTTTCAAGGGAAAAAATTCGGGTTTTGCATTGGCCTTCTCAATCGCCCGATTTAAATCCCATCGAGAATCTTTGAATGCAGTTAGAAAAGCAAATCAGAAAAAGACAAATCACAAACCGAGAAGATTTATGGGTAGTTTTGCAGGAAGAGTGGCATAAAATTTCAATTGATTATTGTGCAAAGCTAATAGACTCGATGGGGAGAAGATGTCAAGCAGTCATTAAAGCCAAGGGATGGCCGACTAAGTATTAAAAAAATATTTCAATTATTGATTGAATAATATTTTTTTTGTGTATGCTTTGGAAATGTTTCCATACTTTTGTTAACCATTTTTTTTAATAAAAGTTTATTTTCTAAATATTTTTAAGTGTCTACTTATGTTTTTAATGTATGATATTTTATACCCCGTCCCTTAAATTAAAAATAGTATTTTATAAAAAAAACATAATAATATACATATTATGTACAATATTAAAGGTTTATAAAATGTTTCCATACTTTTGTTCGCCACTGTAAGATGGCTAGTTTAAATTAAAAAAAAATAGTTTTAATCGTCTGCTGATGATGCTAACATGGTTAGCGAAACACGTGTTCAGTGATAAAACTAAAGTGTATTGCGGTGAATTGGTGGCTTTATTTTGATGTCGTAAAACCAAAGGTTCCAACCCCCAACTACAATGAAATGAAATTATGAGTATAAACTTATAAAAAATGAAAAATGCCTTTAAAATTTTTGAGGATTGTCACCAAAACAGTGTACTTAAATAAATTAAATTAATAATTTTGTCGATAGCTATAAGTTTCAGCATCACTTGAATGAAATAAATCCTAAAATTACTTTAAAATAGCTAAACTCTTTCAAAATTAATTGAAACTTTCTAATTGTTAATGTTTCTTTTGCACATACTCTCGATATTAAATACGATCAAAATTAATTACATTAAATCCGGTTGGACAAGCCAAATTAATCCAAGATTCCTACGCACCACAGTCCTTGATTGACATTTGGACATATATCTAGTTTTGTTTACACATTATTAACATAAAATGTATATATAATTCAGTTTTTACATGATATAATCTATGACTAACACACAAGAACTAGATTGGGAATAGATACATTTCAGTTTCATAAAAAGTTATATAAAGTCATATGGGGGCGTTCTAATACCAGAAACTATATATACAGCTAAGTGAAAGTGGTTTCCGAAAAAAAAGCATATTTTAGCTTCTTGTAATGACCAACATCTAAAAAAATCTATTTCTATTTTTTTATTTAGAAATAAAGAGGTGTGGATAATTTTATTTCATTTTAATGATTGTTTAATTATAATTGGTTACAATAATAAACCGCTCCTGATTGTTGTGATTGTAGGCAGAACAGTGTGGGTAATGAATACAAAACATTTGATTAATTCAACAATTTTTTGTTTGTTTTTCATATTCGCATGGCATCTGTTTGATCTTCCGTATCAAAATATTTATGTAAATTTCATAAAAAATACACAATTACATTTTTTATTACACGTTACACATTTTTCACGACATTGTTTGACCGCACTACCGAGATAACCATAAATAATATCACGTTTTAATCCTAAGACATCTAAATGGGTCTTATTTAAACCCTTATTTAGATATTTTTGTTTTAATCATTATTAGATTGACTAATGTCAATATTTTTGTGACAAGAATTATGCGATCTTTAATGAAATTGATTTTAAAATACGATCTACTATCACAGCCTAATCATAACCAGCCTCCCGACTTTATTACAATGGTATGC